CCCTCCCCCGGGAGAGCTGCTTTACCCAGCCTGAAAATCACTGCGCAAATGGCAACGGCCCCTGCTCTCCCGCCCACTCCCAAGAGCTTCGGGAACACTGACCACGCGTCAGGGATCTGGAGACAGACAAGAGGACGAAAAGCTTACGTCTGGCTGCCAGGCAGTGACCAGCATTGGGGACACAGAACTGGCCCCAGGTTTCTGGGAATCAGCTGCGGGCACAAGGCCAGCCAGAGCCTGCTCTCCAAGCCCGGAGCTCTTTACCGCCCGAACGTGCGGAGGGCCTTTCTACTGAGGAGCTTCTGGGACAGCCTGAGAGGCCGAGCGACAGAAGGCCTGGGCCAGGGCAGAGAAAGTCACTTCAGCTGGGACGCCCCTCACCCCCACCACCACGGCTTACCACGCGAAAGCCCCACGAGCACGAGGACACAGTGGTAATGGACGTGTCCTTGGGCCTCCGGGGGCAAGCCCACCATAGGAGTGCTGCTGTGTGGGACAGCCGTGTCCTGCGCCTGGCCAGGGTGGTGACAGCAAGGCCTGGCTGCTCGCCCCACAGAGCTGGGGCTGAGGGCACCAGCCCAATAAGCTTTTGGCACAAACGCTCGGCCAGGGTGACAGGCACCAGTCACAGAGTGCAGGTCTCCAGGGTAGAGCCAGTGCGGTCAAATTCCCGCCTCCCCCAAGCAGCACGGGTAGTGCCCGCTCCATAAGGATGGCCACCGGGAGGTCACAGCCCTGATCCGGCAGGAAGGGCGGGCTGGGCGGCACCCTGCCTGCAGAGCTGCAACCCCACAGCAAGCGTGCGAATCCACAGGCTGCACCCCCCAGGCAGACGGGAAAGGCCTGCGCACATCCCCGTCCCCCTCCCTGCCCTCCTTCAGCCCAGACGGCGAGACAGAGACAGACTGCATGTGCCGAGGGACGACGGCCAGGCCCTACGCATGAGCAGGCTCTGACCCGTGACCTGAAGCAACTGGCCGGGGAGCCAGGCCGCCATGTCCGGATCCCAGTGCATGGAAACAACTTCCAGCTAAAGAGGTGACAAACACCAAAAAAAAAAGTGCATCCCAAAGCTGCACAGACCTCGGAACCGCGACTGACCACGACACCCACTCACCTCCCTGGCGCTGCCTGAGCGGCGGGGCTCCTGCTCCTCTGGCCACGACGCCTCTGAGCGAGACGAGTCCCTCCGGCTGCTGCCCGCAGTGCTGCTCAGCCCGCTCAGGCTCTCCCCAGGGCCGCTCGGCCACGCCCGGTCTACAGGGGCCTGGAGCCGCCCGCCAGGCAGCCTTCGCTTCCTGCACTTTTCGGCAGCAGGCAAAGGGGTTAACACGGTCTGCGCTGACAAACTCGACTTCTGAGAAGATGGGGTTGAGTCCTCGCCGTCTGTGGAGCCTGTGACGGGGAGAACAGAGGTGGCGTCAGGCCGAGTACTCTGGGCAGTGATGGGCATTGCACTTAAAAAGGTGTGTGCGTGTGAGTGCGCGTGTTGCCACCCATGGAAAATCCGTCAGTGATGAGACTGAAGTCTTAACACACCCATCACCTAGTTACTGCAGTTTTCCTGCCAGAACTACACATAAGCAAGGTGAGTCAGGTAAGTAAAAGCCTAAAATCGGGACACTAGAGAGACACCACGACGTGCTGCTACAGGAGACACCTGGGCCCCTCTTCCCAAGGACGCGGCCCCACATCTGTGGAGCCACTTCTCCGGTGGCCTTGCACCGAGCCCCGCACGGGGAGGAGGTGAGGGTCACACCTTGGCGCCCCGGGCCCTGCCCACTGTGGACCAGGGCCTAGAAGGCAGGCTCTCCCTGGGCCCAGGGCCACCCTCACTGCTCCCCTGTTAAGGCCTCAGAGCCCTGGGAACCCCACTGCCTGCCCCGCATGCCCCACAGGGCTGGGCCCAGGGCCACCGTCCCGCCCAGGCCTCTGGCCCGCGTTCCCGCACTGCGCTGCCGCCCCCGTGGCTCCTTGGGCAGAGCCAGGCCCGGACTCACCAGCAAACGGGGCCTCGTGCGCTCAGGACCGGCAGGAACAACAGCTCCGCCTGTCCGCCCAGGTCAGACACGCAGGACGCGCTCCTCCCCCAGCTCCGTCTATCACCACACTCCACCCAGTCCCTCTGCCTCCCGCTGGGACCCTCCCACTCGCCCTGCATGATCCCGTCAGTCACGCCAGCCGCTTCACCCCGGCCTGGGGACAGACACGGACCATGCACTGCCACACCATCTCATGCTGACCTGTGACCTGTGCTTACCTTTCTCTCCACTCTGTGCCACAGCCTGTGCATGAGCCCACCCTCCAGGAACCAGCAGAGAAGCCACCCTAGGGGTCACCCCACAACAGTCGATTCTGAACGCCTTAACCCTCAAGGATGCAGCAGACAGAAAGATCGAGAAATTGTTCTGGCTCATAGAGTCTGACGAGACTTGACAATTAAATATGCTGTGAGCACCTGGACGGGACCCTGGACCACAGGGAAACGATGTTGTTGGAATACCTGGTGAGGTGTGGATGCTCCATCTGTGGCGGAGTCCCTTTCCTAATCTAGGGAGTGACATGCTAGTTAGGAAAGTGTCCCTGTCCCCAGGAAACCGTGCTAGAATGTTTAGGACAGGATATTCTGCTCCAAAAGGTTCCAAAAAGAACAATGTCCAGGGCAGTGTGCACACATGCGGGGACAGACACAGACACATCCACGCACATTCATATGGACACACGTACACACAGACATGCCCTCGCATACACATGGACACACGTGCATACACGTGCGGACACATACATCCACGCATAGACATGCACACGCACGCACATCGACGCACATCCATGCATGTAGACACATCCATGCATACACATGGACCTACGCACATGCACATACAGGGGGACACATACGTATATACGCAGACAAGGGACACAGGTGCACACATGCACAGATACACACACATGTATACACACAGGCACATCCATGCATGCACAGGGACACGTGCACATAAGCACGGATACGCACATACATATATGCATGTGTACATGCACGGACACTGCATGCAGGTGTGCAAACACGTGTACGCATTTACCACTCCCAGAGACACGCACACATACACGGGGAGCGGCCCAGGGCCGACGTGGGCAATGCCGATGGGGTGGTCTGGATGAGACTGACGTGAAGGCTCCCTGTCCTGCTGCGGCAGCCCTTCCAGGTTCACTCAGAAGTCACAGGGACTGCAGGTCACTAAAGAGGTCTAAGCCTCGAGCACATGTGTCTGTGAACAGAGATGAAATGATGGTGCGGACCAGCCTGAAAGGCCCAGGAAGGCGCAAGGCTCCCACACGTCGGGAAGTTCTCTGCCTCTGCGGCCGCACAGGGACACCCAACACTGAATCAGCTTGGTACTTAACGCCTCATCTTCAACTTTTCAAATGTAGCTGCTGTTGCAGGCTGAGCCCGTGCATTTAGAGGACAGTGTGTGTGAGGACAGAACAGCACCAAAGCACTGAGAAGAGGGCTCTAAAATACGACGCGTTACAAATTTCAACCTACCGAGTTCTTTCGTAAGCACTTCAGGGAATTCCAAAAACAAGCAAGTATCATAAAGAGCAGAGAATTTCATAGTAACGGCAAACATGGTGAAACATGCACCTGCTTCAGGAGTCGATGGCGAGGGCATGAGATTACCTGGGTGTGGGATGAGGTGCACGTGCGGCCCCGGGGCGCGGTGAGCCCCGGGCTGGTCTCTGGGCTGCTGTCCATGGTGCTGGCCTGGAGGCCACGGCTCTGGAACGCACCCTCTGGAGCTGCCCCTTCTCTGCTCACGGCCCCTCTTCACGGAGTCCCCGCACTGGTGCTGCGCCGACTGAGGACTCAACGGACATCTGGATTCTACTTGAGGAACATTTAAAAAGTTTTAGTTCATTAAAAGTTACATCTTAAGCTTCTGACAGTGTATGATATTAAATAAGGAAAAGGTAGCTGAGTGGGTCAATAATGCCACAGCCGCCCGTCATGAAGAGCAACAGTCACTGCGAACAGAGCTGCAGGCAGCGGCTGACACTGCCCGGCGCATGACTCACTACCAGCTGAGGAGTCCAGACAGCCTGCTGGTTGGGCAGACGGGACCATCAGTGAAGCCGGACCCAGAGACAGACTCGGGCCAACTGAATTAACAAATGTGCCGAGGCTACTAAATGAGAAAAGTCTTTCCTACAAAAGGCAGCAGCACAACCGGTCACATAGCATTAAGTGGGGGCCGAGCTGACTCATCTCACACCACGCCCACAAAGCCACTGCAAGGCTAGGTCAAAGACAGAGCTCCCACAGCCCCGGACGGCCACACCTACGGGAAAGAATCTTCGTGACACGGAGCAGAAGACTGCAGGGCACAAAAAAGCAGGAATCACGTAAAAAAAAAATGAACTGGACTTCACTGAAATTAAAACATCTGCCCTTTGAAGCACTAAGAAAATGAAAGGTAAGCGTCAGAATGGGAGAAAATTTGCAGCTCTTCTATCTGAGAAAGGGTTTTATCAAAAACCACAGAGTAGTCCCACGACACTATACCACAAAAAGGGGAGTAGAAATGCCTCAGGACATACGAATGGCCCACAAGCACGTGAAGAGATTCTCATCACGGGTCTTTAGGAAAATGCAAATCAAAAGCGTCATGACACACTAGTACAGACCCGACGACCAGCCAGAATTAACACGGCCGACGATACCAAGAGCTGGCGAGGCGCCCGAAGAGCAGAGGTCCTCGTGCCAGCAGGTGGATCCTGGGATTTCAGCCAAAACTTACACCTCAACCTGTCACGAGCTGTCAGAGACTCATCATGGATGAAGAAATGGAGCTCGAGCCTGCGCACAGCGCCAATGGAAAGCGAGCCCCTGGCGAGGCCCTCGAAGGAGCACGTGCAGGGCGAAGCCCGCGCCGTGTCCCAGTGTGAAGCTCGCAACATGGCAGCTGGAGCTCTCGGCGCTCCCTGCAGCTAGCACGCAGCCCCGCGGGGCGGATGTGGATGCCAGCTCCCCTAGGCGCAGGGCACGTCGCTTTCACGTCCATGAGACACGACACTCCCTCCCTGTCACTGTGATGGCTGACCGAGCGCTAGCACCTCACCCAACTGGACACATCGACCTCCCTTCGTGATGTTACCCGAGTTACTGACGCCTGCAGCAGGCAGGGCTTCGTGAATGGTCTGCATTTAAAGACAACTTTTCTGAAAGGCGCGCTGCGCGTATGGGCGCCAGGCTGGGCCGCTGGCCCTCGGGGGCAGCAGCAGCAGCGCACCTTGGGGACCGTGGAAGTCGGACTCGCGCTCCTTCTGGCTGGAGCTCCCAGGAGGGTTGCTCAAGCCCCACTCGCACTCGGCAATGAGGTTCAGGACCGCCTCGTCATCCGCGTCCATGACCAGGCACTTCTTGGCTGAGGGGTCGGTACACTTGGCTCTGGAGGGACACGGTCTGCAAAGAAAAGCCGACTCAGTGCTGCGCCCAGCCGGGGCCCCAGCCCGCAGGCGCCGTGAGGGAGGCTGCATGGCCGCAGGCTGCAGGCCCTCAGGACAGGTGGCAGCTGCAACTGCAGATGAATGGCTCTTGTGCCCCAACTGAGTGCAGTGAGGACCGACTCAGCAGGACAACTGACGACGTGTGATGTCACCGAGCCGCCCAGCACGTGCAGAGCCCCCTGGGACTTGTTCGAGCACGGAAGTTCGGAAAGCCCCGCTTCTCCCAGCGTGTCACAGGGCGGGACGTGCAACCAGGAAAGGTAAAGGATGCGGTGTCCCGCGTTTCTAGTTTTACAGTAAGTGACTAAAATGAGAGGTGTTTTAGATGACCTCCCCCACTTCCAGCAGTGACCCTCCATGCAAACGTGAGTGCACTCAAAGAGGACCTCATTTGCCAAACAGGTAGTTTAAGAAATCATTCTTCATAATAATCCTCAATCACATGCTATGAATACTGATCCAACAGCCAACCATATGTGAGGAAGTCAGGAATATCTACTACTTCCTGTGACTGAGAGGTTTCCAGATCCCTGTATAAAGCAGGGGACTCGGATTCTCCTGCTGGGTCTCCCCACAGACACCTGACATCTGACATGTTTCAGCCCCTTGGGCCTCCACTGCCACCTCAGGATGGTAAGGAGGTTGCCCAGATCATCTCTCAGGTCCTTTGGACTCCAAACTCTGTGATGATTCAGTCTTGAGATTATCAAGAGCGGGTAAACCACAGAACATTGCTAAAACAAAGATAAAGAAGAGACAAGTAAACAGGAGACACCCCCATGTTCATGGACCAGAAGACTCAACTCTGCTAACGTGGCAACACCATCCCAGTGACCTATGGAGCCAGTGCCGCCTCTGTCAGAGTCCCCACCATGTTTCTGCAGAAATAGAAACACCTCCCTCAAATGCACCTGGAATCTCAGGAGACTCCAAATAGCCAAAACAGTCTTGAAAAAGCAGAGAAAGCATTAGAACCAGACTCAGATATGGCAGAAATGCTGGAATTATCAGACCAGGATTTAAAACAACTACGAGTAATAATGCTGAGGGCTCTACTGCAAAAAGCAGATTAATGTGCAAAGCACAGGTGGGAAATATAAGCAGAAAGATGGAAAGTCTAAGAAAGAATCAAAAACAAATGCTAGAGATCAAAACACTGTAAGTCATTAGCAGAGTGGACACGGCTGAGGAAAGAATCCCTGAGCTCAAGGAAATGCCAAGAGACGCGTCTAAAACTGAGAAGCAAAGGGAACGAAGGCTAAAAAACAAAATAGAATACTCTAGAATTGTGAGACAACTATAAAGAGTAACACGTGCATAACGAGAACATCAGAAAGAGAGACGAACAGAAAAAATATTTGATAAAGACTAAAAATTCCTCAAATGAGTGTCCAAAACCAAACCAAGCTCCAGGAAGCTAAGGAATACTGGCAGGATAAATGGCAAAAAACCACTTCGAGGAATATCAGATACAAACTGGAGAATGTCAAAGACAAAGAGAAAAATCTTGAAATATGCCAGATGAGAAAAAAACACTTTACCTACAGAGGAACAGAGATAAGATCACATCTGACTTCTCATCAACCATGCAAGCAAGAAAAAAGTGGAGTGAAATATTAAAAGTGTACGAGAAAAAACTAGGCCATCCGGAATTTCATATCCTGCAAAATTATTCTTCAAAAATGAACGAGAAAGACTTTCTCACATAAACAAAAATCGAGGGAATGTCTTACCAGTAGTCCTGCCTTGTAAGAAATGTTATTAGAACTTCCTTAGAGGGAAGGAGAGTGATGTACGTCAGAAACCTGGACCCTCAGAGAGAAAAGAAGAGCGCTGGAGAAGAAACCAGTGAAGGTTAAACAAAACTTTTATTTTTTTTAAATTCTCAATTGCTCTAACAGATAACTGTTGGAAATAATAATAGCAACTATTATGTATGCCTGTACACGTGCACGTGTGCACATATACAATTATATATGCCCGTGCACGTGTGCGAATACAGTTACATATGCACGTGTGTGCGTATACGCATGCTCGCGTGCATCTGTGCAGTTACATGTGCGCGTGTGCGTGTATACGCACGCTCACGTACATGTGCGCACATATAGTTACATGTGCCCATGCACGTGTGTGTATACGCATGCTCACGGGCATGTGCGCACATACAGTTACATGTGCCCGTGCACGTGTGCACGTATATGCATGCTCACGTGCATGTGCACACATGCAGTTACATGTGCCCGTGCATGCGTACACACATGCACATGTATGTGCACACATAGTTACACGTGCCTGTGCCCGTGTGTGTACACACGTGCTCACGTGCATGTGCGCATATAGTTACATGTGCCCGTGTATACGCATGCTCACATGCATGTGCGCACATATACAGTTACATGTGCCCGTGCCCATGTATACGCATGCTCACGTGCATGTGCGCACAAAGTTACATGTGCACGTGTGCGTGTACACGCATGCTCACGTGCAGGGAGATGAACGACGGTAACGACGCAGGGACAGGAAAGAGGAATCAGGAGTATTTTGTTACTGTGATACAGTGTTACTTGAAAGTGGACTTGGATTAGTCGTGAATGTATACTGAGTATTATAGATCGACCACTAAAAAAAGTAAAAAATATAACTGGTATGCGAAGAAAGGAGAAATAGAATCATATAAAATGCTCATTTAAAAATCACAAAAGTAAGAAAAAGAGCAGAAGAGAAGACCAGGACCAAGGACTATGAGCGGAAAACACGAACAAATCCACACATGTTCACCGACTATATCAATGATCACTTTAAACATCAATGATCTGATCACACTGGTTGCAAGACAAAGGTCAGAGCGGCTCAAACAGCAAGTCCCAAACACGTGTTGTCTACGAGACGCCCTCTTAACTCTAAAGATATCTATATATGCTTTGAAAGTAGAGATGGAGACAGACACAGCAGGCCGACCCCAGTCAGAAGAGCTGGAGCAGCGACACCAACCCCAGGTAGAGCAGACTCTGAACGAGGAATGTCGTCAGGGGAAAGAGGGCAGCACGGTACGATGACGGGGTCACGGCGCCTGGACGGGCGTCTCCGCTGTGTGCACGCCCAACAACGGAGGGTCAGACTGCAAGAGACGGGACTGACGGGGCCGTGAGGAGAAGGGCGAACCCAGCAGCGCGTCGGAGACTGGGATGCGCCTCGGACACGGCAGGCCCGGCAGGCAGGGAATCAGGGCGCACACCTGAGCCCCGCGGCACCGGCGGCGCCTTGGCTCGAACGGACGTCACAGACTACTTGTCCGGCAACAGCAGGAAGTGCATTCTCAAGCCCACGTGGAACCCCCACCAAGACGGACCACATTCTGAGCCACGAAACAGATTTTCGCATGAAGAACAGAAATCACGTGATGTCTACTCTCGACTACAATGAACTTATACTGGTGACAAGCGACAGACAGACCCCGGAACATCCCGAACACTTGAAGATTAAACAACGTATTTCTAAATAACACATGGGTAAAAGAAGAAATCTCAAGAAAAATTAAAAAATATTTTGAGCTGAATGAAAAAGAAAATATATCTTATCAAATCGTGTGGGATGCAGCGAATGCGATGTTAGAGGGGAATTTAGAGCATTTAATGCACATGTTAGGAAAAAAACAGTAAGATCTAGCACCAAAAATCCGAGATTCTATCTTAGAAAACTAGAAAAAGAACAAATTAAATTCAAAGTAAGCAGAAGAAATAAAAATTAGAGCAGAAATCAATGAAATTGAAACAGGACATCAATAAAGAGATATCAACAAAGCCAAAAGCTAGTTCTTTGAAAAGTTCAACGAAATGTAAAAACATCTATGCCAGGTTAACACAAATCACTAATACCAGAAATCAAAGAGGGGGCACCACTGAAGATCCCACAGACATTAAAAGGATGACAAAGAAATACCACAAACAACTTTGTGCCCACAGATCTGATAATCTAGATGAACAGACCGGCTTCTGGAAAGACACGACATTCAAAAACTCACACAAGAGAAATGAATAATCTGCATAGACTTATATTTATTATAGATGTATATATATTGAATCAACAATTAATAACCTTCCAAAACACCAGGTCCGGATGGGATCACTGGTGAATTCTACCAAACTCTTAAAGAAATACCAATTCTCTACAATCTCGTCTGGAGAAGCAGAGGGAACACTTCCTAACTCATTCTACGAGGCCAACATCATCTTAACACCAGAACCAGCACAGACAATAGAAGAAAACTATTATATATCATGAACACAGATACAAAAATCTTCACCAAAGTATTAGCAAATTGAATCCAACAATACATAAAAAGAATTATACACCATGACCAAGGGGGAGTTATTCCAGGTATACAGGCTGGTTCAACACGTGGAAATCAATTGACGTAATCTCTCACATCAACAGGCTAAAGATTAAAATCACAAAATAGATGCAGAAAAGTGTTTGCCAAAATCTAGCCCCCATCCATGGCAAAAATGGTCAGCAAACTAAGAATAGAACTTCCTCAGCATGATTTAAAAAACCCTACAAAAAACGACAAGTAACACCACACGTGGTGGTGAGGGATGAGATGCTAAGACTGGACACAAGGAAAGGGTGTCCCTCTCCCCACTCGGACATCACATCGAAGTCCCAGCTCATGCAATAAAACAAGGAAAGAACATAAAAGATATACAGACTGGGAAGGAAGAAACAAGATCGTCTCTGTTCACAGATGGCATGATCATCTATGCAGAAATCCCAAAGAATCAACGAGAAAAAGAAACAAAAAGCTCTCCTGGAACTAATAAGTGATTATGCCAAGGTTACAAAATGCAAGATATCATATCGCACTGTGTTCCCCCAAAGAGAGATGCTGAAGCCCCAAATTCCTGTCCCTCATTGTAAAGAGGGTCTTTCCGAGGTAATCGAGTTATGACGAACCAGCAAGGTGGCCCTAATCCAATGTGACTGGTGTCCTTATGGAAAGGGGAGATCTGGACACAGAAACAAACGCACGGAGCGGGGAGCCTGTGAAGACAGGGGGAGAGGGGGGCTACGGCGCAGAACCTGGACGAGGAGCACTGCGAGCATCTTTAAAATAGAGTCAAAGGACTAAACGAATGGAGAGTCCACCTTCATGAATAAGAAGACTCAATACTGCCAAGACGTCAGTTCCTCCCGACTGGACCTGTAAATTCGGCGCAAGTCCCACCAAAACCCCAGCGCGGTATTTTGCGGACACTGACGAACTGATTCCGAAGTCCGTTTGGGGGCGAGACCTAGAACTGGCAACTCCGTGCTGAAGGGGAAGAACCAAGTCGGGGGGCTGACACCCCGGACTCACAGCCGCACACGAAGGAAGGGCCTGGGGAGCTCTGTGGGGGTCTCATTCTCCACCCTCGTGACCTAATCACCTTCCAAAGGCCCTGTCTCCTACGCCACCACATAGGCGGTCGGGATCTCAGTGCATGAACCTGGCGGGGGGACAAACATTCAGACCATCATCTAGGGTATGAGGTGCAGCTGCCCACAGCACATAGTCTGGTACAAAATGGGGAAGTGAGGGGTGGGGGATACAGGGGACAGCTGAAGGAACAGGAGATCCCAAGGATCCGGAACGGATTTAAAGACATTAGAGTATGGGCCACCGCCTACTTTGGTAAATAAAGTTTCACGGGAACAGTTATTTAAGCATGCCTGTAGCTGTTTTCGTACTACACAAGCAGTTTAGAAGTTGAGACAGAAATCATGCGGTCTACAGAGTTAAAAATATTCACTCTCCAGCTCTTTACAAGGAGTAGGCTGACCTCCACATACGAGGAAAGTATGGAGGAGCTAAGCACATGATGTGAGGAAAAAAAGACGACTAAAAACTTCGGACGAAACAAAACAGTGCACGAGGAGCACAGACTTCCAGAGCGTCACAGGCAGGGTACGCAGTCTGGCTTCACCCTTTAGAACCAGCCACACGCAAAGCATGAAGACCGTTCATGGCTTCAGGACGTTTACGTGCCACCCACTGCGACAGTGAGTTACACATAAAGGGGCGGGGGCGGGAGGCAGCGTGGGGGCACGAACATGCTCCCATGGCCTGAGCTGAGCAGGGAGCACTGGCCACAGGGCGCTGAGCAGAGCACACAGGAGGGGCAGAGTCCACAGACGGTCACCAGGGGCTGGGGAAGATGCTCTGGCAGCCGTCAGGTCCTGCTTCAAGTGTGCACGCCCAGAAACGCAAGGTGTTTGTACTGTCTGGGGAGTGGAGGCAACTTACACAACTGCAGGAGTGGACAGTGGCTGCCCCTGAGGCAGGCGAGCAGTTGGGGGAGGGGACCTGGCAGAGGGAGGGGGCGGGGCGGGAGGAGGAGGCCAGGCGGGGAGAGGAGACCGCCACTTCTCAAGAGCCTTCGTGCTGCTTCCTTCCACACGTACCGCTTTAGTAAACGTTCTCATATTAAAAAACAACTCAGAATGTGGACGACAGAGAGTGGCCCATCCCACTGTGTCCTTGGGCCCCAGCTGGCCCCCGGCCCTCGTCCTCCCCTCTTCTCCTACATGTCTGCCCTTGAAGTGGCCATCAGCACACAAAAACTTTACACTTTTTAGTTAACACAGAGCTCTGTAGCTTTACAACGTGCAAGCCTGACATCTTCTCTCCACGTGCAAATACCACTCACATCCGTACCTTCCGACTCTGCGAACGGTCAGGAAGCGCTGCGTGGAATCAAGTGATTCTTCTGAAGCAAAATGCAGCCAGGATGCTTTCCGCTCGCTCTCTCTCACAGGGCGGTCATCTAGGGAGAAAATGCCACGAGACACTAGCAAGCGACGGCATGAAGCAGGTGCACCTCCTGGCACTGGGCACCAGCTGCAGAGCACACGGCACACGCCAGAGCTGCTACCGCCTGTCGGACTTCCTGTGCCCTGGCCTGACCCCGCCACGGCATCCCCCACAGCACGATGTCTGGGGGCTGCACTTGGTTTCCCAATGCGGTCTCACTGGTTCTATCAGGTCAGCATCCAGGAGATGGGGACGAGAAGCGAATGGGCCCGCCAACTGAGGACATGCTGTGGCTAAGGGGGCACCGGACGACTCCCTTCAAACAAACAGTCCTGCACCAGCTACCCTGCACTGCCACCCACTTCACCCAGGAGGGCCAGGGGCGCGGGGCCCCACACATCCCCACGGCCGGCACGGTCAGAGCACCCCAGGCTCTGCTGTGATGTGGGGGAGCACCAGCACTGCCACCGGCCACACTGCTCACAGCAAAGACGCCTCCTGGTAGGCAGGCGACTTCCTCGAGTGTGACCTCCCGAATGGACCTGTCCAGCTGGCACCCCCACAAGCTCTGCCTGCAAGCCTCTCGCACAGATCTGTCCCTTTTAGGGACGTGGCCTACTAAGCCCAGGTGGTGGCTCGCCCTAAGTCTCTCATCCATGTCACCTGGGAAGGGTGTGGCACCATGAACTTCTAGCCCTGTATCCTCGCAGGTGGATACAAAACCAGAAAAATCCAGCTGTCCAGCTGGGCCTGAGACGATGCCCAGGGGCCACGCTCAGAACCAGGAAGTTCAGGAAGGTGCCCAAAGCGAAGCCAGAAAGTGAAGCTAGGAAGTAAAGCCGGGATGAGACCGAGCAGCCCGGCCCACACTGTGCTCTTGGCTTCCCCGGCATTTATCTGTGGCCACAGGGCTCCCGCCACCTTCCAGGGTGGCTCTCTTGCAAGATCTTTCCTATGACACAGAGACTCATGCCATCGGAGCAGAAAGTCAACAGCACGGTCAACCTGAGGGCACAAACGCCACCAGGGCCCCCTGAGCAGGCAGGAGCATGGCACCTACCCAGCTGTCTGAGCTTCGGGAGCAGGCGCACGACAAAGAGGCGGTAATCCGGCTCGTTCTTCACCACGGGGTTCAGCCGGAAGTCCACGTCGGCGAGCTCCTTCAAGGAGTGCAGCCGAAACACCTCGGCCAGCAAGGAGATGCAGTTGTAGTAGAGGTTGAGGCTTTCCAGCGCGGCCAGGTACTGAATGCCCTGTGCACAGGACAAAATGCTGTACTGGTTCATGCTTTTAAAAATACATAGGAAGATGGGCCATCAGTACAAACTGATGAACCAACTTAACAAACGCACTTGCAATGACACGTACCAGGAAGAGCACAGGCGGGACGTGCTCTCCTACATGTGTTCCTGCCTTGCACACAGTGACATGGCTGAGTAGGGCAGTTTGCAATAGTCGCAACTATGAGGACAGTTGGTATCTCCTGTGTCCTCAGCGTGCGCCCATCTAAGTGATTTACACAACTTCATTCGGTCGCATGCAGCCCCACAGGTAGGCACTGTGCCCGCTCCCACTTCACAGAAGACTGCGGCTTGGGGTGAGAGATGTGCCAGCACTGGGCGCAGCTTGGGCTGGAACTCGCCTGTGACTGTGAGCCGGCTCCTGCCGCCATGTGAGGGGCACCGGAAAGTCTCAAGTTCCAGGGCAGTGACGTTCTGCCTTTGTCAGACAAGAGCCCCGTCTCATGCAGCCCTGAGCACTGCTCACACAGCCTCCCACTTGCCAGCACGTGGGTGACTGCTCACTCATCACCAGGGCTGGCCCCTGCGGGGTCAGGCCCACTGCAGCAGGCCGGCACCTGGGGCCCTGCGATTCAAGGGCTTGCGGCCACCAAGTCAGACTATGACGTGAAGTGCAGAAACTGGATGAAAAACACAGCTGACGACGGGATGGAGAGTGATGGGCACGTTAGTCTTTTGGGCCTTTTTTCCTTTTAAGATACAACCATCTTCATCAGAGTTGACTTGTGGTCGTCAAAGCGGTGTAAAGCTACGTGATGCGTGAGACATCTAGCTCACAGTAAAGGCAAGAAAAACGACACAGCACCGAAATCGCTGTCAAGTATTATAGTCATGGCTAGAAAACAAACTGCGTTTTTAACTATAAATGTACTATATACTGCTACTAAAATCAATAAGTTGTCTTTGAAGAAACAAATCTAAAACTTACCTCTAGACTAACCAAGGAGTTGCGTGAGAGATCTAAAGATTTTAGACCCGTTAAACTCATCAAAGAATTTCCTAGGTGAGTAATCTTTTCTTGGTAAGTTCCAGGAATAGATAATGACCGAAGTTCAGCTAAGAATAGAAAATTATAAGATTTCAATCTTATTTTTTACTGAAAATAAATTACTGTCATAAAAAGCAACATATAGTAACCTTATAACCTGAAGTCACAAAAATAATGCAACTCGCTCGAGGTTTGAATATGAATATTAAAAGCACAAGAACTGCATTTAAAGTTTTAGCTTATGTTCACCTCCAAAACGTCGCCAAGCCCACGCCTGCAGCTCACCCGGCCGCCTCTCTCTTCAACACCCTGTCACCAGGACACCCTCCTGGCCGGGCTCCCGCTTCCACTGCGGGCCGCCTGGCCCCATCGCCTGTGAGGCCTCCAGGCAGGGATCACTGCTTAGCAACCCGGCCACTCCGTGCCCATTACACGCGAAGGCAGGCTGCATGCTCTGTGCGCCAAATGCCTCTGCATGGCACACCCAATAAGTAGCCATTAAATAAATGCCGCTACAAAAATAAGATTCGGTAACCAAAGAGACAGTTTGGATCTCTAGACACCAATGCTTTCCAAGGAACGCTTATGTTTTAAAACACATGTCAATTAAATCTGAAATTGGTTTGCAGGCTTCTAGTCCCCACTTATTATCTTAAAAACCCTAGACATCAGTATACAAAACAAACACCAGATAACTCTGAAGGGTGGGAGCACAAGGCCAACTACCTAGAGACCTCAAGATAATGGTCGAGCAGTCAATGTCCGGGGTTAATTTGGGGTCTTGTTTGCTTGTTTGGTCTCCTGATACATCCTCATCCGAGTGCCAAAGAAGCTGGCAACCCAGAAATGCCAGTGGACAGTGACCAAAAAATAAGGGTAAGTCTGCTGTCCACAGTTAAAGGACCGGGCGCGGGGGAAGGGGGGGCAGCCTTGCAGGACAGGCCCCGGACACCACCAGCCCCTCTCCAGCCTAACACCAAGAAAAACAAATGCACTTCATACACCTGGCCTTGCACAGTGCCCAGCACAGGGGCCATGTGAGCGGGTCCTGACTACTGTCCTGGCCTGGCTGGAATGAGGTGGCCCGCAGGCATCTGCAGAGCCCACATGTGTGACAGGGGCCCGGCGACTGCCTCGGCAACAAGGCAGTGCCCAGCTGGTGCCAGCAATGAGTAACAAGATTTAAATAAAAAGCAGTGTCATCGTTAACATCTAAAATGTCCAAGATACAATAAAAAATGACCAAGAACTAGTAAAATCTCAATTTGAATGAGAAAAACAATCAACAGACATCAATATTGACATGTCAGAATTATCTAACAAGGATTTTAAAGCAACCTTTATAAAAATAAATTAAGTGAGAAATTACAAATACTCTCGAACAAATGAAAATGTAGGAAGCCTTGGCAAAGAGAGAGAAGATATAAAGAAACAGAAATTTCAGACATAAAAAATAACTAAAACAAAAAATCACAGAACTCTATAACAGAATGGCGATGACAGAGGAAAAAAATTCAAAGAGTAAAGATAGACTGACCAAAATTGTCCTATCCAACCAACAGAAAGAAAATATTTTTTAAAAAAAGAAAAGAGCTTCAGGGGCCTGTGGGAGGAACAGGGATCTAAGATTCGAGTTATTGGGTCCCACTTACAATTCCCAGAAGAGAAAGGTAGTATGGCTAAAAATGAAAAATTAAAGAAACAAAGTCTGAAAATTCCCCAAATTTGGCAAAAGATATAAACCTACATATTCAATTAGTTGAAAAAACCCCAACCCAACAGAATACAGGCAAAAAAGGCCATGCCCTGAACACATCGGAATCAAACTTCCGAAAACCTAAAACAATGAAAGGATCTCAAAAGCAACCAGAGAAAAAAGGCATCGCCCCTGGGAAGAACAATTCCCGTGGCAGGGGATGACCCAGGGACAAGGCGGGCCCGAAAAGTGCCGAAAGAAAAGAACTTTCGACCCAGAACTGTATCCACCAGAAACGGCCTTCAGGGCCGAAGGCGAAATGAAAGTACTCTAGAATGAACACCAAGGGAATTTGTCACCAGCACACCTGTCCTAAGGTAATTGCTCAAGGTGGTCAAACAGAAAGGAAAGATAAAAGAAGGAAACCTAGAATGAAAAAAAAAAATGGAATAAGTAAAGGTGGGCAAATGCGTTTCCTTCGGAGTTATTTAAAATGTTAGATGCCTATCCAATATATATCATGAATGCAGCTCTCAAAGCACATACAGGAAATAATCAACACAACTAAATTGTAAAGCGGGTGATAACGAAACCTAGATGGTGGTGAGGGCTCTGCGTGTCGCTGGAGATGACAAATGTCCACACATGCAGACCGCAATGTGTAAGGCAACTACCAAAGAAGCTATACCAAGAGAGATGCTCAGAATTGGAAAACTAAAAATTATTCAACAGAAAGGCAGAAAAAAAGAAACAAAAGAAGAAAAAAAGAAAACGACATACTTAAACCCTACTATATTGATAATTACTACAAAGGTAAGTGGTCTAAACACACGATAAAAAGCAGAGATGGGCAGAGTGGAGTAAAATGAGCAACCATACACTGTACAAGAAACTGATTTCAAACGTAATAAGGTAGGTTAAAACATTAAGTACTAAGTGGATGGGAAAAGAGACTGCCCTGCAAACGCCAATCGAATGAAAGCTGGAGTGGCTATACTCACATCAGACAAAGCAGATGCCTCAACATAGAAAATTATCAGGGACATAGGAACACTACGTAAGCTACAAGGGTGACTCCAACAAGAAGGCCTCCTGCCCCCGCCCCCCACCCC